TGTCATGCTTTTGCTAAATTAACATTTTCGGCAAAAAAAAATAAAAAATGACCATTGCTAGTTCCTACCTTTCCCTGATAATTTGCCCAAATTACCTAGAAGTCAGAGGTAAAAAAAAAATATGGTCAGCTTCCTACTTCACTTAATGCACTCAAATGACACACAGCCAGCCATGTAATGGCAGATTTTAGCACTTAATCCAAATACATTGTAGAGATTTTAGTATTCAGGTGTCTACTGATCATACTCAGTAGGTTATTTTCTGTCCAGGTTTATAACATATTCACACACATGGTTATGTTAAGCAGTTTAATGTAAGAGGCTGGGAGATGAGGGTTTGGTTGGCTCCAAGTTGCTTGTTTGGATTATTCACCTGCATATCATCCTGTAAAGCAGCAGGACTAGAGCTGGTTGAAATCTTTTTGACAGACTGTGGCAGTGCACCTTTGGCAGGTGCCAGGTAACTGATTTCAGCAGCTGTTTTCAAACACAGGCCAGATATATAAAGAGGGAAGTTGGCTGCTAGTAAGGGAGGCAGCAACATCAGCTGACTGAGCTCCTGCTCAAGGACCTGGAGGTAAGGGAAGGGGTTATGGAGAGGTGGAGGCTCCTGTTGTCCTGGGCGAGACATGAAACTGCACCCTGCTGGGGAAGGGTTGGCCTGGTAGGGCTCCTAGCAGCGTGGGAGCCCCTAAGAAATGCCAAGCTAGTTACCTCCCCGGTGAAAGGCAGGAAGGGGCACCTTATAACCCCAACCTCACATCTCTGGTGGTGTTCCAGCAGAGCAGGGGGAGCCCAGGCTCGTTAGGAGCCCTGAGGCAGTCCAGGCCAGAGAAGGGACCAGGAGCCATGCCCAGGCAGCAGGGTAAAGCCTGGGGGCATAAGTAGAGGCGCTGAGAGAGAGGGGCGATGGATAGAGAGGCCCGGAGAGTGGGTGAGTGAGTAGAGGCCCAGGGAGGGGCCAGGAGCAACGTAGGCTAACAGTTGTAGAGTTGCTCAGCAAACGTTCAGGTGAGGGCAGCAGGAGATGCCTGACAGACTGTGCCAGGACTGAGTGAGGTGTGGAGAGACATGCCCGAAACTGGATGAGGCTGGGCAACGTGAATGTGGCCCAGGAGAGAGGGCAGCATGAAAGAGGCTGGATGAGAGCCAGTGGAGTGAATGGGACCCTGGTGAGAATGGGGTGGTGTGAGAGTGGCCCTCCGGGGTAGTACGATAGAGCTATAACTGTGTGCTCAGTTTGCTCTGGACCTAGGCCAGAGAAGTAACACATAGTGCAACATCTGCAAGGCTTGGGGCACGTACATTATGGGAGAACTTATTTTCATCCAAATCCAAGAAATTTGCAATACTTCCTTCTCCTACACTAGGTATTGGTATGTCCCCCTCAGATGGGTCTTAGCTACCTCAGGGAGTCACCCTAGCAGGGAACTGCTAATCAGCCAAGGCCAGGGTTTCAAAAAACACTCTGCTCCCTATAGAGAGGCCAGAAGTGTTATGCAGCAGATGGCTATCCTCAGACATTATTGAGGTGCCTGAATGGGAGGCCAACCAATCTGAAATATGGGCCCTGTTTGTGTCCAGCCTGGGAAGCAACTGCACTCACTCCCCTCCCCTGGCCCCCCCACCTCCCAGGTCCACAAAATCAAGCAGGAGCAAGTACAAATCATAATTTTTTCTTCCTCGTCTTTCTTTTTTTCACAATAAATTGAATTGCAATCAATTCCATTGAGAAATCACAATAAAGCTAAAACAGTTTTACATTACATCCATGCATAGGATAAAACACAAATTCACAATTATGCCCCATGGCCCTTCTGTAATAGATATGGATGGATGGTGGGCTGTGCCAGCAAATACAATACAGTAGGATAAAACACCAATTCACAATATGATCCCAAGGTCCCTTGAGTAATCCCTTGATATTCCCCTCAGTATTACTACTATCAAGCAACTGTTGTTGTATAATAAGTATGAGTATTCCCTTTCTCCAATCACATGTAGTATGTCACTAGATGTGGGGTGGATGGAGGGCTGCATGGTGGGAGAGCGAGAGGGAGGGAGGCAGCCAGCCAGCCTGGTTACTGGCCCTTACTGCTAGGACAAGCCCAGTAACCAGGGTTTTATTTTTGGTCTATATGGCATGCATGGCCAATGGGGGATGGGTGGGGTGGTTTTTGGAAAGCTGATCACTACACAACTTTTATAGAGTAATGGTATTACTGGAAAGTCGTAGGGTAGACTGTCCTCAGATGGAGGGAGGTCAAATGCTTGGCCAGTGCTAGTATGCAGCCAGCATTTCTTGCAAGAAAGAAGACTAAACAAACCAACTCTATAAAGACTTCAGCAATGCATTACATTGTTCTACACCAGAAACTGGGTGGGTGGGAGGGAAGGAGGGAGGGAGGCAGGCATCCTGAGCCCCTTCCTGGTTACTGAACATGTTGCAGCAGAAAGATGGATGGGCAAAGGTGGGGGCAGGCATGGTCCCAAAGGGGCCCCTTCAGGTAGGGAACCCCCAGGCATGGTCCCGAAGGGGCCCCCTCAGGTGGAGATGCATGGCCTGACTCAGCTGGCTGCCTGAGTTGGCCATGCTAATATCCAGTACATAGTAACTTTCAAATTTTTGCTGGACACAAAGCTTAGGGAGGAAGGAATGAGGGAGAGGGAGAAAGAGGCAGGCAGGCAGGTATTGTTTTATGGGGGGTTTACAATATTTTATATTGTAAAGGTGCAGGGGAGGAAACCCCCCTTTCTGTTATACTACTTTCTGTTAACCTTATTTATTTAAAATCTTGCCTCCTTCCACAAGTCAGAAGAAACTCAAGGAGGCAGAAACCTCAAGGAGACAAAGTGGCGGGTGGGTGGAAGTCAGAAGTCATGTACCCCAGACTGAATTTGTGGGGACATGGCTAGTAACCAGGAGGAGGTCAAGAAGACTATGAAATGGGCCTGCAGAACCATACTTGAGCTGATGCTTGGGCCAAAGGCAGTAAAGAAAACTCAGCCTCCTTTTGTGGCCAGGAACCATTTGAAAATTACAGGGTGCTACAGAGAAGTGTAAGGTAGAGGTAGGCGAGTGGGGTGAAGAGCCCACAGGACTACGCGGACCCTGGGAGGAAATTTGCCGGAGGTCTTGGTCAGCAACCAAGAAGAAAGCCTCCACATTTGTGGCCAGCAACCATCCTCTAATTTCAATTCCATAATATGCTCATTAACAAACAGAGCCAGCAACCAAGAGGAGGGCTAGAATAATATGAAATGGATCTGCAGAACTTGTGAAACTCTTCCTATACTCAGACTGAGACACTGGCCAAAGCCTGCGAAGAAAGCCTCTGCAATTCAAGTAGTACACAGAAGAGAAGCCTCAGCAGTACTTGTGGCCAGAAACCAGGAGGAGGGCAAGAATAATACAAAATGGACCTGAAGAACTTGTGCAACAATTCAAGTAGAAGAGAAGCCCGAGCAGTACTCATGGCCATAAACAATTCAAATATTAAAGTGTGCAAAGGCAAGTCATTATTCTTAATAATTCATCATTCTTAATAATGTCCGCATTTACTTTAGTACACATTCATTACGCATTTCTTTACGTGCTTATTTACAACAACGGTTGCTTGATAGTAGGCTAGTGAGGGAACTGTCACTCAATGATACGCTTTATACTGCGTAGTGTGCTATTGAAAATAGCCTCAGCTGCATTTGTGTCCTGGCCAGCAACAAAGGAGGAGGGAGAGAAGAAAGCCTTGCCCTACTTCTGGAGTGGCATCAGGCTCAGATTTCGGTACTTTTCCAAAAGCCAGAAGGCCCAGCCACGGGAATAAGGGGACCTAGGGAAGAGCTTGCTCATTATTATGGCTAATAACCAGGAGGTGGGCATCCCCCCTCGCTGCCACCTTCTCCTGCTGACCAATGCTGAGAGTCTCCACATCCAGCTTGTCACCTGCATCCTTAGAGAAAATGATGGACAGCTTGTCGTAGAAGGGAGTGATTGTGAGACCTGCCCCAGAATGAGAGTTTGCATCTTTTGCTCTGTAAAACACTATCTCCATCGTCACGTATTTCATCCTCATTCTCCATTTTGCTCCTCTCTGTCAGCAGTGGCTTCTCACCTGTCTGCACCAAGCAGGGGGGCAGGGACTGTATGGTGTGTTGTGGTCTGGAGCCTGGTGTAGCTGCTTTTTCAACACTTCACCATGGCATCCCAGGGCACTGGGTCTTTTGCACATCCTTTCATCCTGAGTATAGCAGCCACTGGTGTTCTGATCTAATCAAGCTTGCAAACAAAAAATGCCTTGCCTACTCCTCTCCTGTTAGGCTACTCAAAACTTTTGCCACTTCAGGGAAAACAGGCTGTGCTTCTGCATTAATATTATTTTGCACAAGCAGGCAGATAGGTATCAATCTTTGCAGCACTCCGGGCCATTGAGCAGCCATCCTAAAGTACAATGGCCTTATTTACTCCATCACCAGATCTTTGTTGGTAAACTGGATGCTTCATCACCTTTGGGTGTTTTGACACTTACAGGTAATGACTTCACAACCCTTGGAATTTTCCCAGACCCTCATGCAAGCCCAGCCTGAGTATAAAGGCGCCCCTCCCCCCCGCCAAATTTTGCCAGCCCCCTCTCACAAATTGCTTGTGCTGTTGGCCACAAACTGCTTCGCCATGTCTCAGAAAGCAAAGGCCAGCAGTATGGAGCTGACGGCCCAGGAGGCTGATACCTTCAATGCCCATGGACCAAATTGGGCCCGGGAAGAACTGGAGGACTTAATAGACATTTGGTTGGAGCAAAGGATCATGGCCAGGCTAGAAAGTAGGAGGAATAAGCCTATCTATGTTGAGATCGCAAAAGGCATGCAGGCGTGAGGGCACAATCATGACTGGACCCAGGTCCGGTGCAAGATCAAGTCCCTGAGGTCAGCGTTTTACAGAGCCAAAGATGCGAACTCTCATTCTGGGGCAGGTCGCCCAATTGCAAGTACGATATCGTTGGAGGTTGAAGTGGAGGCTGGTGGGGGAACAGCCTGGAACACTTCTGTTCCTCACAGAGAGAACAGTGGTAGAGAAGGGAGAAGACGAGATGAGTTGATATGATCCTTGGGCCTCCTACAGCGTTCTGGAAAGGAAAGTGGTTGGGCACCTGTTGGAGGGTCATGGAGACAGCTTGCTGAGAAGACAGATGCAGGAAAGTTCATGGGAGGTTTCTGTGTAGACCTCATGGGAGGGGAAAATTTGCTCAAAGGCCTCAATAAGCAACATAGAGTCAAGGACTTCCTGGACTGGTGGGCAGGAGGCATGTCTACATGTATACTTATGCATGCCTAAACTTAATGCACCTTTACTTATGGTGCATTAAGGTGATTTAGGCATGCATCTACACATGGATGTGCTAATGCACATCAAGGAGCATTAAATCTGGCACAAATAGCTAAGTCACATTAGCACAAGCGCAGATGCACTAATGCACATTAATGCAATGTCTATCCATTGACAATGTTAATGCGCATTAGCATGTCTACATGTGCACTAATGTGACTTAGCTATTCACACCTAAATTTGATACCTGCTTTATGAAGGTACCAAATTTAGGCTCATATAGCCTTAATTCACCATTTTAAAAGCGCATTAAGGGTGCACACATATAGACATGTGCCTTAAAAATGGTGATTTTAGGCTAAGCCCACTTAAAGGGACACACCCAGGGACAGAGAGAGTCGCAGAATGGGAGGGACAGCCTCCTATGGCTCTAGCAATGCTGGTTGCTTTGGCTCTGTGTAATTTCTAGCCTGTTTTTCCCCCAGCCTGGATGATGCAAGAATTTAGCTCCTCCCAACTGGCCTCCCCAGCTACTTCCCAAAGGGGGCTCCTTCAACCTTTCCCAGCAGAGTTCTGGGGAGAAGCTCCTCCAACCTCCCTCTGCAGAAAGCAGCTTCACAGTTGGGATGGAGCATGCCACCTGCCTCCTGTAACCGGACACCTGAGGGACCACAGCATGGCTCTGGGACCTATCCACATGGGGCTGCCCGCCAGGCCTCTACTTAGTGCTGTGCTCATTCCAGGTGGTGTTTCTTTTAAACCTGTCATCATGAGACTTATGAGTCAAGTTAAATGTGTTATTGGTGCTGTGTGCCTGGCTCTCTAGGAGCCTGCCTGCCCCGAGGTGGCAAGCTGCTGCTCCTTCCATTGGAGAGGATCCAAATTCACAGAATTACAATTTAATTAAATTACTCCAGCAGCTGGAGGAGTAGGAACAATACTGTGTGTGAAAAAGAAAAAAATAGGATTGGCCTGCTCCTTCCTGGAAGGGTCCTTAGGAGGAAGGTGTTGGAGAGGTTTCCCTGAGGAGACTCCCAGGTCACACAATAGGGTCAAACAAATTTCAGCCTTCTTCTACGTATTCCCTGAGCTCCTTGTAGATCTCTGTGGTAGCTTCCTACCCCTGCATGCTCCCCCAGGAGTAGGAGCCCTCCCCTACATGTGGAGGGATAAGCACAGTGGACTAATTGGGCAGTGGGCAGCTGCACTGCCCAAGGGGTAGCTTGGTGGAGATTGTCCCTTACAGAGGATGATGGCACCCAGTGATTTGATGAGGATTCACATTTACACATCCCTGAGAGAACACCCTCACTTCCTTTATCGATGCTTCAGTGGACATGAAGCTACAAGTCCTCAGGGTAAGTCTGTTCTTGTGTTCCTGCCTAGGGACAGAAGGCAAAGAGCCAGATCCTCAACACAGCACCTTGCATTTCTGAGCCCACAGTCTGTGGTCCTGATTTACTGCCTCACAGTCACACCTGCAGGCCTATACCACAGGCACAATGGAGGCCCAATTTCAGTCTGTCTTTCAAAATGAGAGAGAATCTGACCATGTTCTTTCCTTCCAGGTCGGTCAGTCGTGGCTCTGAATCCCACATCTGTCCACGTTTCTTCACAGAAGTGCCAAAAGAAACACAATAAGCCTGATGTTACACACCATCTGAGGTTCTCAGACTGCCATCCTCATGCCATGTCCTCTCTGGAAGAACACAGCTGAACCCACCGGATTCTACGACTCTGGTCGATCCATCTCAGGTGGGCGCTCCCCAGGCTGCTGTGTTTGGTCCATCTCACTGGACCCATGTATTCTTAAGCCTTCCTTGGTCTAATTAGGTTAGAACAGGTGACTCTTTCCTTGCCATCTTTGGCACACTGCCTGAGCACAAGTTCTTTGGATTTTAGCCTGTCACAGAAATTAAACCTTACAGCCAAGCTGCCGTAGGTCTCAGGATCAGTTCTGATCAGCCAGACTCCTTAGTAACTGATACACACCCATCCCAGAGCTCTAGTTTGGTGGACACGCTTAGTTTACAATCCACCTTTTTAGGGACATGTGAAAGCATTCAGCAAGCCAAGCTCTGTAAGGCTTCCAAAACAAATCACTCCTTACTGTAGCTAGCACACAGATATACAGATAGATAGCACATAGATCTATATACAATATAGGTGCCCAACTAAGATCCTATTTCACTGTGTTCAAGTAGCTGAAAATCCATTAATGCATCTACTTTCGTAACACACTAGGAGCACCTACATGAGATGCTTTACTTGAGATTAGAGCAAATTACTGTGCAGCAAGCATCACTGTCTACACGTGCAGATGCTTACTGTGCAGTAATTTGCTCTAATCACAAGTAAATTTGCTACCTGTAAATACAAGTAGCATATTTACTCCTGATTACTTACTGTGCTATATGGCACCTGTAGAGAGATGACTGGAAGCAAACTTGCTCCCAGTCAGCTGGGCAGTAAGGGGTGGGAGATTGCTCCTTGCCTGGAGGAGCTGCTTGCTGCCAAGGCCCCAGAGCCTGGGTGGGGACAATGTCCCCATGCCTTGGCAGCAGGGAACTCCCAGCCCCCACTTCCCGATCATGGAACGGAAGCTGCAGAGAGTGTTGCCAGCTGCAGCTCTGTGATTGCAATTGCAGAGATGGGGCTGGGAACAGGTTGGGAGCCTGTTCCCTGCCCAGCTCCATCATCATGGAGCTGGGCTGAGAACAGGCTTTCTAACCCCCAGCCCACAATCGCAGAGCAGGGGCTAGGAACTGTCTTGGTCAGGGGGAGATTCCAGTCCTGTGCCCCAATCCAGTGATCAGGGTGCGGGGCTTTGAAAGAGCTGCAGCCAGGAGCTCACTGCTAGCTACCCCACTGGTGGATTGGGGCAGGGGTCTGGGACCTGCCCCTCCCCTGCATCTCTTTCCAAGTACTCTGTCCCCAGCCAGAGAGCTAGGACCAGGAGCTCCCTGATGCTAGGGCAGGGGGACATTCTCCCTGCCCAGGCTCCGGTGGTGGAACCCACCTTGGCAGCAGGCAGCCCCCCTGAGGGCAGGGAGCAATCACCCAGCCCCTGCCAGGAGACAGCTGTCTCCTGGCCCTGTGTTCCTTGCCAGGCTATTCAAGAGCCTGGTGATGCCATGTCACTGTCCACTCCCAAGATAACCCAGGCAAAAATGTCTGGTTTTGATGCCACTTTTGGTTTTATTTGTGAAAACTTAACAACTCTTTTTACAATCAAAAATTCAAAACGTGTGAAATTTGTTGGGGTTTTGTTGGCACACCAGAAACCCCCCCCCCCCCAACCTAAATGCAAAAATTAGCTAATTTAATTAAATTTTTCAGGGGAAAAAGTTTCACCAGCCAAAATGGTTAAATTTTCAGGTGCTGAAAAGCTAAACAGTCTCAGTTATGATGGGGGTTTTTACTATAATAATTGGAAAGAAATGTAAGCAATCTTTTCAGACAGTTTTACTGACCACACACTGTGCAACTTCTGAAAAAAGCTAAACCTCGAAGTTCCATGGAAGCTTCTCCTACTATCCTTCCCAGCTGCAGTGCATGATGCCTTGCCATGTGTTCACATCATTTACTCCAGTAACAAATGATGGGTCCTGAGGATGGAAGTTCATTTAGCTTCAGTGCTTCCTGCTGCAGGGTGGTGGAGGTTGGGGGAAGGGAAGGTGGGAGGGGGGCTTCATTTGTCTGTCTTGCTCCATAGTCTAAGGTAAGGTTATTTTGCCAGGCTGCAATTAAATTGAGATGAACAATTCAGCTTTTGTAGTTAGTCAGTGTGAAGTAAGACCCAACTGTCATAGAAATGTTACAAACTATACATTTAAAAATATGGAAAAGCCCATGTTAACATAGCATTTTGGCTGCACAAGTAGGATCACACTGACTAAATATAAAATTCAAGATTTCCATCACCACCGTTAACTCAGCCAACTTGCACTCCTTGCATTTTTTGGGATGCACAATGTAGAGCATAACTAGCAATATATCAAGCTACACAGTGACCCAGAAAATGGGAATAGAAAATACTGCAATATATAATGTGGCAAAGATAACAGTGCTGTCAGAGCCTTAACTTGTGCGGCTCTTGCAATAACACAACATATTTCCCTGCATTTCTACAAACGAGAGAGAGAAATCACTTTCCCTTAATAACGGTAGCCTTGAAATAGCTTTAATTAGGCAGAGTGAAAATGAAAGAGCTGCTGCTATTGGGCCAGACAGTTTTAAGTAAGACTGGGTGAAAGGTCTACAGCACGTGAATTGTATAGTGATGGGCAAAAATAGACAATTTTTAAATCAAAGTTTAGGAGTTTGTGAAATGCACCAAAACCCAGGGGGAAACTCTGAAAATCATTAGGCCTCAAACTTTGTTGTACCACAGAACAATCCTCAGAAGCCAGGTTTGGTGGAAGGGTTTTGCAGAGATATCTGCAATGTAGTCATGCCAATTTTCCCAGCAGCCTGTGTACAGTCTTCTTCCTAGTCAGGGAAAATATTAACTTTTGTCATAAAAGGGATGCAGCTGATTAGGAGATGACAACAGCAATGCCCCAGAGCACTCTCTCAGGAGTGATTTTCAAATTGCTTTTCTTTCTCCCAAGTAGACAATGTATACCCCTTCCCATGAGCAGGAAGCTGAATTAGAGTTAATGCCTTGTTCAACAGGGTGGGGGAGGCAGGCAGTGCCCTGACCCCTGTCACACCATGACCCTTTGCCACAAGAAATATGCTGGAAAAGGCATCCTTTTCTAAGAAGCGAGTAACCAGGATTTTGGAGAAAGGTGGAAATAGCAGTAGATGATCCATCTGAGCACTGCAGAACAGCTAACAGCCAAAACAATGTTCAGAACAGTCAACAAATAACGGGGGGGAGGTCTTGTATTTTAAGGTTACTCTGTGCAATGTCACACAATAATATACACTCCTACAATAAGGAATGTTAATAATACTCTGCTCTCTGCCAAGAATAGAGTTCCTATCTACAAACCCCACTCCTACTCAAGTGAAACAAAGGCAAATATATGAAAATAACAATCCCGGGAGCTCAGGAAGTATTTGAAGTCAGGAAAGACCAAATATTTAGCTTGCAAGGGCTAATGTATCCTGGAATGTATGGAACACTCCAGGAGCAGCCGTCCATTGTCTAGAGGCTAGGTAGGTGGGGAATCCCTCCTACAATAGTCAGTATTCTCCCTAGCATACTCCACCACTGTCTGCCTGCACTTGGTGTATGAAGTCTAGAAATGCCCCTGCCTGGTTTCCCAGGAGCCAGGGAACACATAGCTAGGGAACTATGGTTATAGCCATAGTGTACATTCCAGGTATGAAAAGGGGGTACTCCACCTACAGGTAGGTATTAAAACCCTTGGCTCAGGTATTGCACATTCACCTGGTAGCAAGCCAAGGTGTTACTGTTTTTACACCCAATAATGGCCTTGCCTGTCATGCAGTATATCAGAAGAGCTAGTAAGCCCCTGTGCACCCAGGTACACATGCTAAGCTCACAGATCTCCATTGTGTATAAACCAATCTGGGTTCCACAAAGGCAGTAAGAAGAGAAGCTGGAACTTTATGCTATATAAAGTATGCCTGCGCAAAGCGGTTAGTATTTGGTTCAGATTTGGCAGACAGTGATTCAATTTGGTGATTCGAATCGCTCCTGAATCAATTCAGCCAAATCTGATTCAGAGATTTGGCTGCTGCTGAATCTCCGAATAAGCCAGGCCCATGCCCTGCCCATTCTCCCAGCCAGGGTTTTCACCTCCTGCCTGCACTTCCTCAGTAAGGACCAGAACTGCCACCTCCCTGCTAGGCTCCCATCGGGCCCCGAGGGAGGCACACCTGAGCCCAGGGTAAGTGAGGATATAGTTAGGGAGCTGCTGGAGGGGCTGGACATTTTTAAGTCAGCCGGTCCGGATGATCTCCACCCTAGAGTTCTAAAGGAAGTGGCCGGGGTCATTGCGAGTCCCCTGGCGCAGCTTTATGAGCACTCGTGGTGCTCTGGAGAGGTGCCGGAGGACTGGAAGAGGGCCAACGTGGTTCCCATCTTCAAAAAGGGGAGGAAGGAGGACCCGGGAAACTATAAGCCAGTCAGTCTTACCTCGATCCTGGGCAAGCTGTTCGAGAAAATTATTCTGGCACACATCCAGGAGGGGCCAGCAGGGAAATGCATGCTCAGGGGCAACCAGCACAGGTTCATCAGCGGCAGGTCATGTCAGACCAACCTGGTGGCCTTCTACGATCAGGTCACTAAATCATTGGATGCAGGGGTAGCAGTGGATATAGTCTTCCTGGACTTCCGGAAGGCTTTCGACACTGTCTCTCACCCTGTTCTCATTAGGAAACTGGGGGACTGTGGCGTAGACACCTGCACAGTCCAATGGGTCGCCAACTGGCTAGAGAGCCGCACCCAGAGGGTGGTAGTGGATGGGTCCTTCTCGGCCTGGAAGGACGTGGGCAGCGGGGTCCCGCAGGGCTCGGTCCTCGGGCCCGCCCTGTTCAACATCTTCATCAGTGATTTGGATGAGGGGGTGCAAAGCACCCTGTTCAAATTTGCTGATGACACCAAGATGTGGGGGGATGTGGGCACAATAGAAGGGAGCAACAGGCTACAGTCGGACCTTGACAGGTTACAAGGATGGGCAGAGGAGAACAGGATGGGGTTCAACACAGACAAGTGCAAGGTGATGCACCTGGGGAGGAACAACCGGCACCATACCTACAGGCTGGGGAACTCCCCTCTTGTCAGCACGGAGGTGGAAAAGGATCTTGGAGTCATTATCGACTCCAAGATGAACATGGCTCGGCAGTGTGGGGAGGCGGCTAGGAAGGCCAACTGTACCTTGTCGTGCATCCACAGATGCATTTCAAGCAGGACCAAGGAGGTGATCCTCCCCCTCTATGCGACACTGGTCAGGCCGCAGCTGGAGTACTGCATCCAGTTCTGGGAGCCGCACTTTAAGAGGGATGTGGACAGCATCGAGAGGGTCCAGAGGAGGGCCACTCGCATGATCAAGGGACAGCAGGGCAGGTCCTATGAGGAAAGGTTACGGGACCTGAACCTGTTCAGCCTCCAGAAGAGAAGGCTGAGGGGGGATCTTGTGGCCTGCTATAAACTAGTCAGGGGGGATCAACAGGCACTGGGGGAGTCCCTGTTCCCCCGAGCGCCGCCAGGAGTGACCAGGAATAACAGTCACAAGCTGGCAGAGGGAAGGTTTAAATTGGACATCAGGAGGCGCTACTTCACGGTCCTCTTAAAAACCCTGGGGGTTTTTAAGAGGAGGTTGGATGACCATCTTGCTGGGGTCATTTGACCCCAGTACTCTTTCCTGCCATGGCAGGGGGTCGGACTAGATGATCTGCCTAGGTCCCTTCCAACCCTAGAAACTATGAAACTATGAAACTTATGGGTTGGGGGCCCCCCATTCCCAGCTCAGGTCCTCCTAGAAGCATGCTTGGCCCTGTGGGGTCACTCCCCCAGCAGGCTCAAGCGCCTCCAGAAGCTTACCTGGCCTACCCTGCTCTGATGGAGATATGGCCCACTCTAAGGTGAGGGCTGGGATTAAGGCACCTCTACGCACCTTTCACCGGGGTGGTAACTGGCCTGGCCTATCCTGACATAACAATGGGCCTCAGCCAAGAAACTGAGCTCCAGATCTGGAGCGGCACATCACAGAATCCAGGGATGACTTCAGAGAGATGAGGTTCATAATCATACATGAAGACCTAGTGAATGGGCTGTAGCCAATTTGGCTTTGCTTTTTCATGGGGGTGAAGATAAAATGTAGTCTCTCAGCTGGTGACTAAGAGACCGTGGTGCCTCTAGTGAACTCCATTCTCCCTTCTAGAAAGATCCTGCTTATGGGCTTGTTACAGGAGTTGTGTAATGCCACTGAACTTGTATCGCTTCCACTTGCATTAAGCAGGGAGGTCAGAGTGCAGAAGTCCTATGCCATGCTATTATTTACATCACATTTATTTGCATAAGACTGGAATTAAATTTTCCAAAACCGAACTTGTGTTCATTTCAGTGCAGCTATTGTCAGTGAGGTTGACTGGTTCTGTTTGGTATGAGTTAAGTGCTGGCATAACAGCCTTAGCATCTGAAATCCTCAGTTTAGCAGCAACACAGGAGGAGACACTGCCAGTATTACCCCACTCATGTCCCAGTAGGGTCAGGGCTGCCAACATCTGAACAAAATGTCCAAGCACAAGTCTTTAAATATGCTGGCAGTCTGATCTCAATGAGCAGTGGCTGGCATGTGTGGTTCCAACATTTGGCCTGTGGTTAAAACACCAGATTGGCAATCTGGATTCAGCTCCTGGCTCTCTTATAGACTCCTTGGATGACCTTGTTCAAAGTGCTGTCTCTCTGTGTCATAGTTCTCTCTCTGAAATGGGGGTAAAATCTTTCCTTTCTCTGTAGTGTCTACTTAGATGACAAGAACTGCCTCTCTCTGTGTGTCCAGCACCTCACATGAGGAGGAATTGAAGGGCTACTGTAATGCAAATAATATAATTAGATATGGCAGAATTTGATTTTTTTTACAAATTATTTTGCAGCTAGGGCTCTTCCCAGCCCACCTGCAGTGGCCACCATGTGTGTGTGTGTGTGTGTGTGTGTGTGTGTGTGTGTGCGCGCGTGCGTGCGCGCACATGCATGTGGCACCCCCTGTCCCACATTTCCTTACCCCCCATCCTGGATTTTTTCTCCCTTACATTCCCTTTCTGTACATTTTGATGATTATCGATGGAAATATTTTTCCTTCGGTCTGTGAGTGTGCGGTGAAATCTATGTTTATTGATGACTACCAAAAAAATTGAATCCTGCCAAGCCTAAATATAGCATCTGTGTCACAACTGTGATTTCAGGAAATCAAAACTATGCATGAATATCTCTTCCATTACTAACCCCAATCCACAAAAGCCCATGTTCTCTGCTCCACATAATTTCGCATGAAGTCACATCACTACGAAACAATGTGAATCATGATAACAGAAGATAAATGTGTGTGCATGGATGTGCGTGTGTGGGGGCATGTGTGAAAGGTGCATCAGAACAATAAAAATAAACATGGACCCAAGGATTAGACACCTGAACGATTTTAGAGGTTGGGGGCAGTTAGGACAAACATTTAGATGTTTGCTTCAGCTAAGCTCTGTGGTAGCTGCGTGTTGACCCTGAAGTTGAAAAAATGGTGTCTGGATACCAATCGCATGGAAACAAGGGGTGACATCTAGGCACCAGCTTGATAGGAGGAAACTACTGAACCTGCACCTCAACTCAGAGATGCAGGGCTATAAGAAATATGGGTGAATTGCTGGACTGAATCACACAACAGTTCCATCTATTCTAATCTCTGGTGCCAAACAGGGGCCAACAGCAGATGCTCCAAAACAAAGTTCAGGAAGCTTGTCCTGGATGATTATGCTACAATATGCCTGTGGGTCTTCCAAGCCTTCCCCTGGCTTATGAATATATTTTTATAAAGAAAAAACAAAAAACTCCCCATAGTAAGTGGAATAGATTTTGCCTGCTTTGCAAAAGTTCACCCATTGTTCAGGGCAAACTCCCCCGTCCAATATAAACAATGACTCTTAAAAACATTCTCGTCTAAAACAATTGCCATGACTTTTGATGTTTTAATGGTCCTTGCTCTCCCCTACTGTTTGATCATTATGTTTTATAATATTTTTTCCCCTTCCTAGGCAACCCTGTTCCTGCTGCCCCTGCTCTGGAATTCATGGCCTCATCATCCTCACTTCTGCATTCAATGACTTACAATGGAAAGAATTTCATGGGCTTTTATTTTGACTTAGTATTACTTCCCCCTCTTGCCTGTTTACATAGCTGCCTTTTCTTCACTAACACAACAGCTCCCCATGGAGGGTCACTGTCAGAGTTCACAGCTCACACCACAACCACACTAAAAAAGCTCAACCCTAGCAGAGGTTACAGCCTCCCAATTAAGTGGAACATCCTTTTCCTTTCTAGGATTCCCCTTCAGAGTTCTCCGGTAGGTCACTTCTCCTCATTTGGCAATGACTGACTATGCAGCCACCCTTTTATTCGTTATTATTTTAGTAGTGCCTTCAGGCCTTCACTGGGTCAGAGCTCCATTGTGCTAGGCACTATCCACCCAGAAGGAGACAGCCCTGCACAAATGACTTGGCAATAGACAAGGCAGATGGGAAAAGTTCAGCACAGAGCAGGGAAGAGACTTACCTCTGGTTGCAATTCAGGTTCTGCTGCTTCCCTAAGACATAGGCCAGTAACTTTTGAGTTTGACGTACAGCCTGTGCAATACATAGGCTATCAACACACAATTCTGCTTTAAGCTATCTTTGTAACTCCTGGGTGACCTATTCAGCTCTGGTATTGATGAGTGTGAGAGCCTATGTTTGCAGGACAGGAGAGAGGGGGTGTAGATTGGGATGAAACCCTGGCATCCAAAGCGGATATAACTAGAAATAAAACCACCTCAAAACCATTTCTCCTGATTTCTCCCTCTTCACCAGCATGTTTATGTAATCAGGATCTGGCTCATAACCAACCCCGTTTTCCAGACTAAGAATGCCAAAAGAAGTGTTACAAACCCCATATAGCGGTGTTTTTTTACATCCTTCGGTGGCAACACTTCAAGACAGTAGATTAGTCCTGCTCTCTAGATCATCAGTACAGCATTGCCTAGAAAGCTATATTAAGTCCTGGACACCTCTAACTGAAAGGCACCAATACACTGAAAGCACCTTACAGAAAGCAAAAAAAGGTGTTGGGTTGGGAGGAAAGATTCAAAGTGGAGCTTGCCCAGTTCACAGCACTTTGTAGTCCAAATGGCAACACACTAACATGCAGGGCTGTTTGAAGCAAGTGTTCTGATTCAGTCCATCTGCAAAAGCCACAGTTAGTAGTTCACTTATGATCTAAATGTGTCCATGTCAGGAGAGCTCACGTGGTTTTCACGCACCTTCCAAAATATTGGAAAAAGCTAATTAAACTATAAACATATAACACTCCAATTTGGAATATTCCTCTTTGCATTTTTTCTTTACCAGATTTTGCTGATAAAGTTTTTTATTTTTACCTGAAGACACTGAAGCTCCCAGTACACTTCCTCAGATGGAGTTCTACTCTGTACACTCTACAAATAATGAACTTTGGAGATGCTTTCTTTAATTGATTAGGTTAGTCTAGGACCATTGTTTTAGCTTGTGTAATGGACTGTAATGTTGAATGTCATGTACTGTAATGTTGTAACATGAACTACAGATCTCAGAAGCCTCCAGGGGACTGGAGGAAGGAACTGTAATGTGTACTACACGTCCCAGAAGGCTTCAGGGGACAGGAGGAAGCAGAAAAGAAGTGACAGAGTCTGGGATGCCATGGGTGAGAGATGCATGGCTGGAGACTCAGAAGGAGCAACAGAGCCAGGACTGCGAGCAGCAGCAATGGGGCTCAGCTCAAATGTGGGAGCCCTGGCAGATGGCACTACAGTCGGGCCTCAATTTTCATGGTTTACATTCTTGAAAAAACACCGTGCAAAAAGAAATCACATAAAAAGATACCAAAGGTTTATGGGAAATAAGGGTTTAGCTTCCAGATGTGGATGATTTGGTCGATAAATGCCTGTGCATGCGCGCAGCTGCGGTGCAACACGCAGGCATTAAGGAGCAGAGCCCGGCAGCTTGGAGAGCTCTGTGCAGCTGGTAAGTCTGGTGTGGTTGAAAGGCACGGGGAGGGAAGGG